TACTGTGAGCATTTTTTTTTTTTTTTTGGAGAGAAGGGGCAGAATAGATAAATCGAAATGAAAAGAATAAATTGTTAAAATGTCATTTTGTCAGATGAAATGAATAAAGAAGTGGTTTTTTGAAAGAACAACGGTCTGATTTCTTTTACTTAGGACCAAAAAAAAAAAAATGGACGAATTATTCTGAGTATGTTATCTTGAAAACTAAAATAAAGTAATTACTGCAATATTTTTGTCAATAGATTCACGAGAAGTTGACAATATTTGATAAATTTTGTTGGTAAAAGAAATTCGAAACTTTTATAATAATTATGTATTTGACTGTAAAGAATTAAGATTTGATAATTAGTTACTGGGTTATGACTCCAAAAATTTAAGATAATTCAACTTCTTTTACTCCCAGCTACAGAGTGGATTCCATTGTAGACATTGATGTATTTAAGATTGAATTTATATACGTCGTTGCGGAAAATGCCATTTTGTCAGACTAAATTTGACACTTTGGTTGACATCATCTCACATTTGTGGTGGGGTTCATGCGGGACCCACATGAATTAAAAAAGAAAAAAATTCCCCCCACCCCCACCCCACCCCCCATGTTGTGAGGGGCCTGTTAGGGAGGGTAGCAGCCCAACATGATTCACGTCGTTGAGACATAAATTTTGATACTTCACTGAAATTGTGGGCAGCCGAACTAGGACAATAGATCTCTCTACTCAAAATTTTTGTCAATCAAATTGTCACTTATCGATGAAACGTAGGTTAGTAAGAAAATCGAAACTCATAAATCAAAAAGCTTGTAGAATCAAATTCCTTAAGTATTAGGTATTTGTTCAAATTTTGTGAATATAATATTATTATTTAGATTTCTTATTATAGTAATTCCGTAACTTAAAAAAATTGTAATTAGAATATACATTTGTCCGATTTGGATAAAAATTAGATTTTCATAAAAATTAATGAAATGTGTAGTTAAAAAATGAAAAAAATTGTCGGTTGAAATTTAAGAAAAATTAATTTTAAGAAATGGGGGTTAAACATGACTATAATTATTAAGGAAACTATTATTATTATTATTATTATTATTATTATTATTATTATTATTATTATTATTTGACCGAATTTTTTTTTTATTGTTTCAAAGTTAATAATGAAAATAATACCCATAGAACACAAAAATAATTTGTAAATACATAATAACTAAAAATAATTTAGGGAAGACCTACAAATCACCAACAAAACTGGCAATTGAACAAGAATGATTTGTCGCGATTTAAAGACATTATTAGGCAACATGTTGGAAAACACGGTTTTCTTTTGGGCGGATCCATTAGATCTGGCAAATAATAAATAATTTGCTTTACGATAATCATTATCATGGTACAAAGATAAATAATATTGCATGTGGGAATATACCTTTTAAATACACGTCGTCTCATTGACAAAAAAAATATTATGGATAAACGAGGTACGATGATAATAAGATTACACTGCATGTATTCATTAGGTTTCCTTTTCTTTTATTTGAATTTTCATAGTGCCCTTAACAACCTTAATTTAGACCACAAAATGATTTGCTTTACTTATAGTTGCATTATATTCCTAAAATATATTATAGCTTCAATTTTGATGGTCCTATTTTTAGCATCCACTTAAAGCATTAATGCATAAAAATTGTGTATCCTGAGAAATGTATTGCTAAAAAATAGGTAAAATTTGAGTCTTAGGAAATTTGTGAATAAAAATAGAGTTCGACAAATACTTTAATTTCTCCCACAACTGTAGCCATAATGACGTCAGTGGGGAGGAAAAAGGACATGCTTTCTCCAAGTCCAAGATAGAAGGTTTGTCATTTC